CGCACGTTTTTGGAAGAATTTCGACATGCGCGCGCGCGGCCGACGGGCGCGAGTAGCCCGCATGGTATGTTTTGACAGGGATCGCGCCCCCCCCCCCCCCCACAGCAAGCGCGCAAAGGCTTTCGAGGCGTCCGGATGATTTCGGCACGCGCACACTTAAGGCCCGACAGGTCGGATTTGATGAACATGTTGAAACGGGTGGATTTCTGAACGAGCATGTCGATGAAACAAAATCTGTGTGTTTCAGATGTGTTCAGGGCAATCGGTTTTGAAGTCTGCGCGACACATATGTTTTTTTGAGCGATGTTGGCACACGCGCGACGGCGCGCGCGTGTGCACATCGTCCCGTTTGTTGCAAAAGGATTTGTGCAAACGCATTGTTCTTCATAAGCGAGTGCGCGCACAGAGTATTGTTTGACGAGGATGGTGGGGTAGGGAACGATTGGGCAGAATCATATGCACACTTTATCCCAAAGGGGTCGGTAAATCCACGGGAAAAGGTGTTTCCAAATTTCTTTTTAGAAAATTTATCCTGCCGAAGGACCCGATCATCTGCAGGTGTGCGTACCTCAAGTGTGAATCTACTCTTCGGTGGCGATCTCTATGGAGGGGAAAGCTGGTTTCGGAGAGTGGGCGAGACCTCCAGGGGTCCACGCTGTGAGATAATCACGGCGTCGGGGGTCTGGGGACGGGAAGTCTTTCCCCGTTCTGAGCCCGCGGGGCCCACCTGTGGGGTGGGGCCCGACTGCCGTCAGAGAGCGGCTCGAGACCAGCAGAAGCTGGATGCCGGGAGCGGGCGCGTCCCTCCAGCCCCCGCTGCAGCGCGGCTCCTCCGCCCTCCCGCGCACCCGGCCCCGAGCCGCTGTGCCCGCCACTCTCGCTGCTGTCCCGGGGGTGCTCCCGGCGCCCTCCGGGGGCCACGACACGCGTGAGGGGCGTGCCGACACTAGCGACAAGCCGCATGTGGACCCGAAAGAAACCTTCGGCGGAGCTCCTTGCCCATGGAGACACGAAACGTGTGAGGGGAGTGCCGACTGGGGCGGGGAGCCGCATGTGGATTCCTTTGCTGCCGGAAGCGCACGATGGCGGTCATGACCGGCGACGACGGCGAGCGGTGAGGGTGGTGATGAGGATTGGGAATGGAGGCAACGGAGCAGGATGAGGAGGAGGAGGAGGAGGAGGAGGATCATGATGAGGTGGAGGGGGCGGGGGGGAGGGGCAGGAGCAGCAGGATGCTGAGTATGACGAGGAGCAGGAGGAAGCGGGAAGTGGAAGAGGGGGAGGGGAAGCAGGAGGAGCATGACGAGGATGAGGAGATTTTCGGCGATTGTTGGAGATGTTCGGCGGTCGTTGGAAAGCCTCTTTGGGGCCAGGTGTGGACCCTCTTTGGGTTGACACCTCGCCGATTTGGCGCACTCTCTGAAAAGCTTTGAGCTGTCTGCGCCACAGTTCTGCGCGGAGCCTTGTGCATCACCGGTCTCTGCTAGGAACCATGCTGTTTTGGGTGCAAAGCTAGAGGCACCTTGGGCCAGTAACACCTCGGCGCTCCTCTTTCATAATTCATCGCGTCGGCCCGTCTGTCGCTGCAGCACTCTGCGCGAAACGGGCACCTTTCGCCTGAACCAGCTCTTCGCTTGACAAGAAGGATTGGTTGCCGCGACTTTGCCGTTCCCGCTTTGATCCGAGGCTGGCATCTATCCATACGGTCGGTTCGTGTCGTGTCGACCAGCGGCGACCCCGCCGCCGGCGTTCAACGTTGAACGTCGCGGGCGACCCAGAATCGTTCGATGTGGAACGATTTGACGTTTCGGAAACGGCCGATCGTTCAAGGTTGAACGATCCCCGCGGTGTCAGAAACCAACGCCGAGGTCGGCACGACGCGAACCTGCCGTGTTCACTTCTTGGGAGACTGATATTCCTGCACCTCGGGAGGCGGTGTATACTGGTATGTTCGGGCCCCCTGGGTGCCAGGACATCGGCCCCCAGGCGTCAGATGGACAAGTCCCCGCCTCGCACCAGAGATTGTCTGTGCGCCTTTGCCTGGCCCCGCCGCTTGGACGCAGTCCGCATGTTCTCCCTCGGCATCCCCACGCCGGCCTTCACGGTCTGAACGTGACCCTTCTTTCGCTTCCCGCTCTTTGTTCTATGTCGCTTTCGTGCCTCAGTTCGCCTCCGGTCCATCCCACCGCTCGCTTTGACCAGCGGCTGTTCGACTTGCACCACTCTGGCCCCCGTAGGCGTAAAAATTGTGCACCTCGGCCTGGCAGCCCCCGCTGGGGCGCCCTCACCGTCTTCCGCTTCTCCCGTTCCTCTTACTCTTAAGTCGGGCAGGTCTCTCTACACGAGGAAGATTCAAAAGTAGATCTGCTTTAAATACTACGGGGACGATTTTTTATTGTAGTGGCCTCTGGCCAACGCCGCCGATCCGGGACGATTCCTTTGCTGCCGGAAGCGCACGATGGCGGTCATGACCGGCGACGACGGCGAGCGGTGAGGGTGGTGATGGGGATTGGGAATGGAGGCGACGGAGCAGGAGGAGGAGGAGGAGGAGGATCATGATGAGGTGGAGGGGGCGGGGGGGAGGGGCAGGACCAACAGTATGTTGAGTATGACGAGGAGCAGGAGGAAGCGGGAAGTGGAAGAGGGGGAGGGGAAGCAGGAGGAGCACGACGAGGATGAGGAGATTTTCGGCGATTGTTGGAGATGTTCGGCGGTCGTTGGGAAGCCTCTTTGGGGCCAGGTGTGGGCCCTCTTTGGGTTGACACCTCGCCGATTTGGCGCACTCTCTGAAAAGCTTTGAGCTGTCTGCGCCACAGTTTTGCGCGGAGCCTTGTGCATCACCGGTCTCTGCTGGGAACCATGCTGTTTGGGGGGTCTTTGGGGCCATCACGCAACTCTGCGGGCCCTTGTGCGATGTAGATGTGAAGGACGGCGAAGATGGGAGAAAATGTGAAAGCGTGGAAGAACTGCTTGTATTGCAACGCTTGTGTTCAGACGTGAGCGTTGTGGAGGCACTGGGGCCGGTTTTGGGCTTCTCGGGGGGAGTCTTGGAGGCAGTTTGGAGGCCGCTAGAAGGCGTCTGATTCATCGTTGAAATTATTTGGGGCCTTCAGGGGGTTTCAGGGGGCCTCTTCGCGGCCAGTTGGAAACGTCCTGGGGCCTCTTCAGGCTTCTGTGGCCGTCTTCGGCACTTTTTCCGCCGTTTTGGCCTCTTGAGCCGTGCTGGGGCCCTTTTGGGTCTCTCCAGGGGCCTCCTGGGGCATCTTGGGCCTTTCTTGGGCCGTTTTGGAGCCCTCTTGGCAGCTTCTTGTGCCGTTTTGGGGCTCTTTTGGGGCGTCTGCGACGCTCTGACGGCCCAAAAGACGAATATGCTACAACTGTACGTTTCCCCTAAGGAATGAGACATGTTTTGCTTTTTCGGGTTTTTTTTTGGAGGCCTTCTCAGGGCATCTTGGAGTTTTCTGGAGCCGTCTTGGGGAAATTTTGGGCGTCTTGTAGCGATCGTTCGGCGACTCGGGGCCCTCTTGGCCCATGCCAGGGCCCTTCTGAGCAAAAAAGCCGTCCCAGAGTGAGCTGGGAGCTCCGATTCCGCCCCGAGAATTAAATCGAACCGCCCCACCCCCCCTCCCCCTCCCCCTCCCTCCTGAGCAAAAAAGCCGTCAAGGAGTGAGCCGGAGCTCCGATTCCGCCCCGGGAATTCAATCGAACCACCCCACCCCCCGTCCCCCTCCCCCGGCAGAGCCACCCCAGCACCCACCCCCCAGTTGAGCTCAAGCTCAGGAATTGAGGCTTAGGCTGTTCTGAGGGTCTTTGAGACTCACACGCCAGATCGGGGGATTTGTTTCGCCGAAGTGTTGACGATTGTTTAACCTGTTTAATTTTTCGTCCAAGCTCCACCTGTAAAAGGACATGCCCGACATAACCCTACTCGGGGGTTGCTGAAGGTGCCCTTGGCCCAAGGTGCCCCAAGTTTTTAGCTCGATCTTTGCGCCCTCTGGGCCTCGCGAGGGGGTGCTTTCGAGGCCTCGGGGGGCCTCCCTGGAAAATCCTGGAGGCATATTGGGCCAGGGGCACTTCTAGCAGCACCCGGCCTACGCGTGCTGTCACGTCTGCGCTGCCGTGTCGTCTGCCCCTTCTGGAACGTGGGCCCTTGTGCGACACGTACTGGACCGTGCTATTCGTCGCCGACGTCGTCGTCGTCGCCGTCGTCGTGGCCTTCCCTCCTCCGTGAGCCGTCGCGCTCACGCATCACACGGTCGTAGGGCCGTCCTTCCGGACGGCGCATCCCCCCCGAGGCCCAGACATCTGGCGCAGCTTGGACCCCCGGAGGTCTGGACCACTTCGCCATGGGGGAAGCGAGTCCAGGGTCCCGAGGTTATTTTCCTCATGTTCGGGCCGTCGAGGCCCACCACGGGCCCCGGGATTGTCAGAAAACGACTCAGGATGAAGATATCGTCTTGGGGGAAGGCCCCAGGGTCCAGGACCCGTTTCCCTCAGGACCCGTCCCCCCCATGCTTAACCACTTCCTTATGGGAACGGCTTGTCATCCTGAGTCGCTTTTCGACCGTCCCGCGGCCTGTGGGGGCCCCCGGAGGCCGAAAATTGTTAAACATTGGCCGTTCCGAGTTCCAAGTTTTTCGGGGCCTCGTATCCCTGCGTCCTTCTGGACGCTTGTCTGTGCTTTTCCCTCTCGCCGTCGTCGTCGTCGTCGTCGTCGTCGTCGTCGTCGTTGTTGTTGTTGTCGTTGTCGCCGCCGCCGCCGCTTCCGCCGCCGCCGCTGCCACCGTCGTCGTCGTCGTCGTCGTCGTCATCGTCGTAGTCGTCGTCGTTAGCATCGTCGTCGTCGTAGTCGACGCCGCTGGGGGAATCCAGCTGGGCCTTCTTCCTCCTCCTGCCCTTCCTCCTCGTCGTCATGTCCTCCTGCTGCTGCTCCTCGTCGTCGGCCTCCTCGCCCTCCCCTCCCCCGGACGACAGCGCCGGGCCGAGGGCGGAGGGGACAG